CAGGACAGGACAGTGTCCACAGCAGTGGGAGGTCGGGGTGCAGGACAGGACAGTGTCCACAGCAGCAAGAAGTTGGGATGTTGCTCTGAACATTGTCTCCTGGAATCTTTGGAGACCGGGCTAAAGGCCATAATTTAGCTTTTACGGAATGTTAGAAGGGTTTTAGGTAACCCATTCTCCATCTCATATTGGTTAGAATATCTTAGAATTGTATAGGGCTTTATCTCTTACAGCATTCAGAACTTCTCCGTCTGGTTTCTCATTTGAAGATTTTTCCTCTAGAGATGGAAAAACAAGGAGAGGAGAGTTAACTGAGGCAGATTGACGACTATAAGTTCGGGTTTCTAGACGCATACATCTATATGAATGCACACGTGCAGACCTTGCATTTATTTCATAGTTCGTAAATTTTCTTTAAAGTGAACAGCAAACATTAATCCTGGTCTCCATACAAACAAATGAATCATGGACCTGATTTTAAATGGTTTATCGACACAGCCATCTTTTTATTTTTGGCTTTTACTTTAAGAAATATGTATGTATTTTATGTGTATGGCTGTTTTGCCTGCATGCATGTCTGTATACCACATGTATACAGTGCCCACAGAGGCCAGAAGAGGGCAATGGTTCTTATGGTACTGGTGTTTTAAATAGTGTGGGCTGTCATGTTGGTGCTGGGAGTCACTCTGATCCTCTGGAAGAGCAGGAAGTGCTCCTAACCCCTCAGGCATCTCTCCGTTCTTGGATTATGCTTTTAAATAACCTTAAGGACGTATCTCAAACACTTGGAGTTCTGCATTGTCTGGCCTGGTATGCATGCATTCATATTTATAGGTAGTCCCACAGTACTGTTTTCAGAAGTTATACCAGTAAAACCCCAAATTTACTGTAGTTATTCTTCCCAGTTTATAAACAAGGTCCATCAATAATTTGTTTTTGTTTTTGTTTTGTTTTTTGAGACAGGGTTTCTCTGTGTAGTTTTGGTGCCTATCCTGGATCTCACTTTGTAGTCCAGGTTGGCTTCAATCTCACAGAGATCTGCCTGGCTCTGCCTCTCAAGTGCTGGGATTAAAGGTGTGTGCCACTGCTGCCCGGCTTAATAATGGTTTTAAAATAAAGCCTTAAACTATGCAATTACAATTGCTCAATACCGAAGGGAAGGTAAATTCTGGAAAGCCAGGAAACAAGGAAAGAGATTCCCTGAGGAATCAGATTGTTCCACGTGTTTCTTGTCTATTCAGTATGAGGACTGGTTGGCTGGAGGGCGGATGCTTGTGCCGTGCAGTGAAATGTGAAGTGTAGGAGGTGAGCACAGTGAGTGGTGTCCACACCGTCATTTATTCCTCTCTGTATCTGAGTTTTATGAAGCTGTCGGTTTTCTAAGCCTGCAGAGTGTCGCCTGTAGGCTGTAGGCCACACATCTCTAATGATGACCTTTTTCTTTCTAGGATCCTCTGCACGTCAGTACTGCAACCCAAAGCCAAAGTAAGTGAATATCTGAACCGTGCATTGCATTGTAGAACAAAGCATGCTTTTTTTTTTTTTTAAAGTAAATGTTAGCAGATTTAATGATGATACATTTGTAACAAACTCCCACAGAGACTAGGAAAGAAAACAATCGCAGGGCCACTCTGTAGGTACAATTGGAAGTAATCCGTTTTCATGAAAATCAGAACAAATAGAAGTTAGTATTGCATGACTCATGGTTGTTGTTGCTGGTTTTTTTTTTTTTATTTATTTATGTTTGAAACAGCGTTTCTCTGTGTAGCCTTTGCTACATCCTCTACCCCGAGGTCTGCCCACCCTGCAGGATTACAGGCGTGCAGCACCACACCTGCTGACACGTGGGTTATGTTGAGCACAGCTCACAGTGTTCCTCTGTCTGCGGCCAAGTGATCCTTTCTTGGTCCCCTTTTGACGGGCTGTAAGTTCTGGAGAACCTGGGAAACTAACAGGACCCAGCCTTCCCTTGAACAGTAACCGCTCAGAGCAATGGACCATGTCCTGGTTACTTATTTGCCTGTCAAGCTTTGCAAAGATCCCTAGAATATTTGCGGTCATTTGGTTGGTCAGAGCAAGTGAAGGGGAGGAGAGTCTGCCAGGTGACGGTGCCAGGCAGCAGGTGACCGCTAAGGAAGGAAGGGTTAGTGCTGTGTAGATGAGGCGTGGGGGAGGGGAGCTTACAAGTGTCCACAGAGGCGATTGCGTTCAATCACCCCTTCTTTTTCTTGATGATTTTTCTTGCTTGAATCTCTGAGATATGAAGACCAGGAAAAGGTTAGAAGAGCCAGAGTCGGAATAGAGAGAGCCTTCTAGACTAGGGTTGAGTGGCTTACTGTCTGAGAGCACGTCTTTCCGCAGCTGTTTTTGTCAGTCAGCCTCCACTGGGCCACAGCCTCAGCTTTCCACAAGCATGTGCACGAACTTGACCCACTCCGCTGTCTGATGCTGGTAGACCAGGCTACTGTTCCTCTGTCCAGGGAGACAGAATGCCATCTTGTAAAGGAGTCAGAACCTAGTGGCCTCTCCGCACTGTGCCCTGGTTATATTGCCACAGTACACGTGTAGGGGAAATTGACGGCCGCGTCAGGCCATAATACTTGGGCAGTCAGTCCGGGGACGCATGGCCGGTACAGTGGTTGTGAGTCCTGAAAGCGGAGTGGCAGCCCAGCTATGGTAGGGGTTTCTGTGTCTCTCTTCCTTTTGCTTTCTCTTCCCTTCTCTCTGCTTCTGTCTGCAGGATTTTGTGCCTCCCACGGGGGCATGGCCGTGTGGCTGCTAGTTCCGACAGACCCTTTACCCCATCCCACTGTTGAGTTGATGGGAGATGAAGCATCCCTTGGCCTGAGCAGCTTTGGGGCTGTCAGAATCTGGTGGTGGTCTTGGGTGTTGCTACACCAGGGGCCTACCTCAGGGTAATCCAAGGGCTGCTGCTTTTTCCTCTTGGTATTTTGGGAATTTTATCCTAACGAGCATGTGGCCTTTGTGGCCTGAAAGAGAGACATGGTTGTTAGGTGAGGAAGGGGAGGAAGTATAGATTCTTCTGTGAAAAAAGAATCTTCTATTGAAGAATGTCATGTGCTGCCTAATTTTATGTCAGCTTGACAGAAGCTAGAGTCATTGTGGAAGAGGGAACCTCAGTGAGAAACTGCCTCTGCCAGGTTGGCCTGTGGGGCGTTTTCTTGATGGCTAGTTGATGTGGGAGGATCTATCTATCTATCTATCTATCAATCAATCAATCACAATGAGGTTTCTCTATGCATCCTTGGCTGTCCTGGAACTCACTCTGTAGACCACACTGGCCTTGGAATTCTTACTTTTTTTTAAAAAAAAAAAAAACACTGGGCATATTGGTCCTGGTATTTAGGTTTTGGAATCTGGAGAGAGGTGTGGGGCTTTTATCCGAGTGTCCTGCTGTTTATGTCTGAGCTCACACAACATGGTCGCCTAAGGTTTTCCAACATGCAGCCCTGTCAGGACGACCTCTTAGGGAGTCCTTGAGAATGCCTCTACATCAGCGCTCTAGCTGTCTAGGCCATAATTTGAAAATATGAGCGCTGCTGCCACCGTGAGGAGAGGGTGGGTAACTGCGAGGGTGAGAGAGTCGCCACCCCTGCCCAAAAGGTACCCATGTTAACTTTCCACATTTGTTTTCTGGCTCCCCTGACCTCGGGCGGGACACATTGGCTACTACCCATCTGGTGCATTACCTCACTTCCTGTTCCCTATAGGGCTCACCAGGGAATGAGTTAGGGACCGATCTCTCCGAGGCACCCCTGTGCTGCGGCCCTGAACTTTCTGTCCTGGACCCAGAGTCCTGTGAACCTGGCTCTCACCCCTGCTGGTCACTGCACTCCACACCCGTCCTCACCTGGGACAGACCCGGGGCCTGACTCCTCCACTTCTCCACATTTGCTCTCCTTCCTCCTGAAGGTCTTCGTGCACTCACGCTGCTAGAACCCCACAGATTCTCTGTGATTCAGCCACCTCATGCCTTCCATATAGTTTGCCTTCCTTGGTCATTATAGAGTGGCTATTCAGGAATCGGGACAGTAAAATTGCATAATTGCCATGTGTACTAACTGCACACTGCCCTAGGTTGTGAATGTTTGTGGATCTGTTTCATGTCCCTCAGGCAACTGTAAGCACATTTAAAGACCGGGCCAGATGTTTTTACACATATTGGTTTCTACCAGGCAGTCTGTAAATAGGTGCTGAGTGAATGAATTAGGCTATGGGACACTGACTCCAGGAGGGCCAGGTAGGACAGAGGCCGTGCAGTCATGGATGGACCTGGAAGTCAAGTTAGGTGGGATATGAGGACAGCATTGCCATAGAGCGCCCATAGGAACCCAGTAAACTGTCATCAAGAACAGAAACTCTGTCCCACAGCTTGAAAGTTACCAGCAAGTTGGGGTGGCATTCTCAAGCCCTGAATTCAAAGCAGCTCTGGCTTATTAAGAATTTGTGGCTGACGTTTTGTTTATGAACAAGCTCTCTCTCTCACACAGGGCCGTAGGAGACTGTGCCGAGTGCAGTGGCCAGTGCAGAGTTTATACTGTGTCTGGGTACGGGGAGGAGGCTCTGGAGAGGGAACTGAGAGTTTATGATTTCATCAATGTGTGTCCTCGCTGCTCTGACTGTGTCTTCCTCCCCACAGAACAATATGATACGCCTTCCAAAACCCATCCCAGTTCCCAGCAAGGAACATCGTAAGTAGAAAAAGGAAAAACCAACCTTCATTTATTAAAATTTGATATGACATTGAAATTTCCCGTGTAAGTCCATTATGTAGGCTCCTCCCTCCCTCCCGTTTTCAGTTAATGGCATTCATAAAATACGGCTGCATTGTAGAGGGAGGAAATGGGCCACGGTTGCATCTGGATCAAGGTTTATGCACCACGGGAGAATGTGCTGAGGGGTTTTCTGGAAAGAAAGGTTTTGAGCTATTATTTATGCATTGACCGTGGAACTCAGAAGGCTTTGGCTTTTAAAACTTCAAACTTAAATAGTTTTAGCTTTGGGAATTGAAATGGGGGATGTGTGGAGTGAGATTTTCTGCCATTTCCTGGCCTATTTAATGCCAGGAGCTTGTCCTGCCATACAGATGTTCTTATCCAGGCCAGGCACGGCTAAATGTATTCTGGGTTTTTGGAACACTTTAATCTTCACGTTATAGATGTTTAATTCGGCATTTTGACCCAATTTATTTTTTTTAAGTATTGAATTACTATCTCTCTCCTGCCCCTCCACCACTCCTGAAGTCATTGCTAGGAACAGAGTGAGGCGTCCTGCTCAGGGCCCCCCTCCTTGTCTGAGCTGAGCTGTGGCTGACTCATCAGACGATGGTGCAGGTGCCCCTGGAGTTCAGAGTCCTGCTGCTTCGTGCCTGTGCCCGAGGAGGCCAGAAGGGGGTGTTAGGTACCCTGGAACTGGAGTTATAGATGGTTGTGAACCATGGAGTGCTAGGAATTGAACTCTGGTCCTCTGGAAAAACAGCCAGTGATCTTAACGGCTGAGCCATCTCTTCTGCCCGTTTCTTCTATTTTTTTTAGGCACAATATTTGTTCCTTGTGTTTTGGAGAATAGGCATTGCTAAAAAAACGTCAGTTGAGTAGAAGAGTGTATTGCATGTTGCTGTGACTGAACGAGACAGGGTTAAGTCTTTGTTGTCAAAGACCAGCTCCATGATAGAGTACTTTTCACTTCAACAGAAAAATGAACAGCAATGTAAGAGTTTTGGTAGATGAACTTTCTTTGTCTGAAGGATGGTTTCTTTTGCTTGGTCAGAATATACTTCATCGTGGTCTTGGTGGATGAGGAGTTTTTGCTTATTAGTGTCCTCTACTTGAAAAAGACAAAACCCAGCAAACCTATGCCACTTGCATTTCCTCTTTTCTGTTTTGTTTTTTTCATTTTGGGGAATTTTGCTGGCAGTTTTGAATCACCAGCTTAGACTATGGGGAGAAAGGAGGAGCTGAGGCCAGGGACCAGTCCTGTTAAGAGTCTGGGTATTGGAGAAATTATTTTGGCCACTCCACGTAGTTAAAAGGATATTTATTTAATGGCGTAACTCACAAATTAAGTAATGGGTAGGTCGCAGGGTCTGGGGAAGGTGTAACGCAGTCCAGTGGTGTTCTCCGGAGCTCTGCACAGTCAATCTCTACCGGTCAGCGTTCCGGCACCGAGCTAGCGCCCAGAGAGAGCGCTGGCCCATCCCGCTCTCGGGTCCCCAGGCGCCTCCCCTCGCCCCGCCTCGTAGGCATGACAGTTGCCAGAGTCTCAATAGGGGTTGGAACTTCCAGAACCAAGCTGGAATGGCTACCCACTACATCTGGGAGACCGCCCCAGGTCACCAGGCTCTGCACTGGTTTGTGATGGTTGGATGTTGAGGATCAAGTCCTGGTCACCAAAGAAGGTCCTGGCCATTTTCTGTGGGGGCATGGGGGGGGACTGAAGCCCTGTGTTCCCCGGCGGTCAGGGTCAGTTCGGCAGGGAGCCAACCCATGCAGAGCAGTGGCACCAAGCACAGGAAGGAGCTGGCTCTCCAGTGTGTGAGTGAAGCATGAAAGTGAGTGGGCAGAAGTCACTTCCTCCTCTGTCCATCACATGTAGGCTAGTGTCCTAGGAACTGCAGAGTGACCATTGAAATCAGAGAAGCCAATGGACTTACATCCCGTGACGGAATTTTCTAAATAAAAACTGCTAATTGATATTTGAAACGAGTACATGAGATGCTCTTGAGGTACGCAGGGAGAGGGTGAGAACAGGAGAACAGGAGCAGGAGCGGGCAGGTGAGGATGGGAGGGAGGTGGAGGAAGTTAGATAAGTGTGAGGTTTCAGTAGTGGTGTGGGGTACTGGGCTCACACTCTTGACAGGTGCCAAAATGAAATGCACACCATGAACAGAGGAATTCCTTTTATGTGCTTGCCTCTAGTGGAGAGTGAGTTAATTTATGCCATAGTGTTCTCACACTTAATGTGGGGGTTCCTTAGAGCCAGTGATTAATTTGATCCAGTGAAGGCATCCAGGCTCCCGTGTAGTTAGGCTGCCTGAGTGGCAGCCGGTGTAGTGTTGGGCAATGGTCTCTTGTCCCTTGCACTTCAGAACTGTTAATTGCAGGGTTGTTTATGCTCTGACTTGATCCTGGTAGATCTGGAAGTAGCTAACCCATTTAAAAGAAGAGTGGCCGTGGAAGGAAGGAGGAGGCCAGTGGGAGAGCCCAAACTTCACAGCCTGAGGTCACCCTTGTGTCTGTCTGTCCAGCCTTGGGTGGAGGAGCAGAGTGGCAGACTGAATGCCTAAGTGGAATGTCTGTCTGAGCACACTCACTGCCTTTGTGTGTCTTAAGCTCTAGTTACTTCTGAGCCTTCCGACAAAGCCCTGCCGGTACTGATCACCAAGGTGTTAGGTTAGCACTGCTGTTTGTCTCCAAGTTCAGGGAGGGTATGTTTGTCCAACGGTGCTTGCCTTAGCAGTCCACTTCCTTTCCAAGATCTGCAGTTTCAGGACAACACACAGCACGTTTCCTCTTCCTGCGGGTCATTGTGTCTTCTGTACCGTTCCTTTCTGGGAGCCCAGGGCAGTTGGCAGCCCCTCGGGGGCCATGGCACCCATGCCTTAGGAGCTGTAGAGAGGTCCACACTCACTGCTGCTTCTCTTCCCCCTCTCACCAATGAGCTGCTGGAAAAGGCGCTTTCCTTCATTTGTTGGTTCATTGCCCCTGAAATCAACCCCTACTTGGAATAAAGGGGTAAAGAAAGAAATCACTCTCCCGTTGAAATCTGACTTACCTGGAAAATCCTGTTCTAAAGAAGGAAGGCAGGACTTCAGGGCTACCTGGCCTTGGGGGAGAAGGAAGGGGTGTTAATGACAGCCAGGGAAGTCTGATATTTTTGTAAATAGCCTGAGTATTCAAGTTGTCTCAGTAGTTGTTCATTGTGTTTTGTTTTTCTGTCGTCCAGGGGATTGAACCCTAGGCCTTGCTCAGACTCCTGGAAATTTACATCCCCAATCCCCAGATGTCCTTTAGAATGAGGTCTAGTGACACAGTTTGCTTGTCCCAGTTAACTTAAATCGTATTAAGAAAATCAATTTTTTTTCTCTTGCCATTTTATAAAAAGTTAGCGTCTACTGTTGGGTGATGTTTTACTTGGATACTCACGGGCCGCTCTAACTGAAGGTGTCATTGGTGGATAAGTATCATCAGAAATAAACTGTAGAAGCTGTCGGTGGGAGTTTGATGTTAGGAGTTGTTGAGGTGTCACCCCTACTCCAGGAACGCAGGAGCACACACCTGTGCTGTCCTTTATACATTGGCTGCTGCTCTCTTGGCCTAGCTTTTACGGACAGGAGCTGGACTGGATCTGGGAGATTCCAGTTCTCATTTAGAGGGAACAAAGTTCTTACCCAAGTGTGATTCGTCTGCTCGGGGACTAGTGCCCTCCCAGGTCGCGCAAACCTGCATTGCTTATGGGACAGCAGGAGGCGGGATCAGCACTCCTCTCTGGTGCCCAGGCTCCGCCCTCCTCTCTGGTGCCCAGGCTCCGCCCTCCTCTCTGGTGCCCAGGCTCCGCCCTCCTCTCTGGTGCCCAGGCTCCGCCCTCTGCCACTGCGGAGATTCCTCTGCCTTTGAAAAATCATAGCAGCACTCATGAGTTCCCTTATTAGCAAGATTTGATAGCGATTTTTAAGTAAACTATAGGTGCTATACATCTCTCTTATTAAAAACGTGAAATGACTTCTCACTGCCTACCTCCTGGTAGCACACTGATGTGAACGCTGAGTCACCCACATCTGGTGTCCTAAACTGTTCTCTGGAAGGTTTTGTGGTCGCTCTTGGCTGGATCAGCAGACACTGCCAGTGTACTTCTGTCTGAGTTAGGTCTTTGCTTTTTTTTTTTGGAGACGTCTCATGTAGCCAGGTTGGCCTGGAATTTGAACTTGTTCTTCTCTGTAGTTGAGCTTACATTTTTGATCCTCCTGCCCCAACCTTCCCACCTCTCAAGTGCTAGGACTTCAGGCATGTGCCACTATGGTGGCTGTGGCCTTTCCTCCTCCTTCTAACATTTGTCTGTCTGTCTGTCTGCCTACTTACCTACCACCTGCTGGTCCCATGAATGGTGATGGTGTGGAGGCCAGAAGACAGCTTGCAGGAATCAGTTCCCTGTTCTACCACGAGGGACCTGGGGGCCAACTCCAGTCAGCCTGCTTGGCAAGCAGCCGCCTCTACTCTCAGAACCACTCCACTGGCCCATGCCATTTTATTTGTTATCTGTTTGTTTTTAGACCAGGTTGGACTTGAACTCAGATCCTCCTGCCTCTGCCTCCTGAGCACCGGGAATAAAGGTGGGCACAACCACACCAGGCCTGGCCAGCTTTTTAATTCTCTATTAAATAAATTATACTCACAGATTTAGACCATAGGAAACATCGAGTGTATGTATTGCACCAGTAGCTTACATAAGGCATAGAAATTATTTGTTTTTGTTTTGCAGGGCATACTCAGATCTGTCTTCATGCAGGGTTCCTTCACCGAGCACTGTCGCCCCTTTTAGAATCTTGAAAAGCAGATAATGTTTTACTGTTGACTTCTCATCCTATCTAACCTCCAGAAGGAGACATTTATAGACTTTCCATGGTCCCTGCTGTTTTCAGATGAGCTCAGAACTTCCTTTACTGACTTTAGGAGGATTTATCCATAGAAGCTAGGTGTTACTCCATAGCAAGGGAGAAACATGGATGGGACTTTTCATTCTCTGCTGTGGGTGGGAGTGTGGTGGGGTTACAAGAAGGAGTATTTTTATACAAGATAAACCCAGTAAAGGAGCTCAGGGTCAAGGTTAACTCCTGCAGTGTGGTTGTTCGTGGTTAATGCTGAGTGCGCTTTGCTCCCGTGGCCTGTCCCCCCCCCCCCCCCCGTTGTGTTATATCTTGGGAAGTTTTCCTCCAAATTTAACACCTTTTGCTGGGTCCCCTAGCCAAGCCAGCCCAGGAGCAAACCTGTTGAGTAACTTTTCTTTGCATACCATTCTGATGGCCAACTGCCAAGTCCCATGACTGAAGGCTGTGTTTTCTGGACACAGTAAAATAAGAATTTAGTTTCTACTTGATAAACATTGAGTGAGATCTTCAACTTACAAGTATCTAAAATTTTTCTTTTTTCCTTTTCCTCCCTTTTTATATTGTTTGTCTTTTGAGACAGGTATTCTATGTGCAGCTCTATCTGTTCTGAAACCGTAGACCAGGCTAGCCTTGATTACACTCCGAGGTCAGTCTGCCTCTGCCTCCTGAGTGCTCAGATTAGAGGTGTGAGTCAGCACGCCCAGCTTCAGCTTTCATTTTTTAAAAAGCTTAGAAAGGCAGGGTTAGCACATGTGCTGGTGAAATAGTTCCTTGGTGAAATTTGCACATCTCGTGCACATCGTCGCTTGTGAAAAGCCCAGCTCTATAATTTATCTCATTGGAAAATGTAGTGATTTTGTTTAAACCAGGGTTTCCTGAAGGAACCATGCCTTCCTACTTCATGGTGCCTCAGTGAGAAGTGCTGTTCAAATTACCGAGGAGGTATTTTGAGAGCTGCCAAATGATTTTTAGTTTGTTTTTGGGGACATAAATAAAACACAAACAGATTTTTTTCCATTTTCTAACTTTAACAGCTTGCTTATAAAATTGGAGAGAAGTGTGAGAGAAGGATTAGTGATTGATGCCTTTGCTCTTTGGGGATCTCTGGAAAAAGCGTAAGAACGGGAGGGCAGGTGCCCAAACTGAGAAAACATGTACTACTTAGAAACATTTTATTTTAATATTAAAATTTTGCCATAAGCCTGAGTGCCTAGCAATGTGTAGCAATATAAATTTTAGGGAATGGGCTGACTTTTTTTTTTCCCTACCAGAATTAGTATCTGTAAGTTTAAAATATTTTCTTACCAACAACAGGGCCATTTGTATTACTAATTAAATCAACGGAATATTGATCATTGATTTGTATCCAAGTAGACAAAAGAGTGATTTTTTTTTTGCCTGTGGAAAAGTGTTCAGTATTAATAATGTCCAGTCACCTTGAAGTTTTGTGTGCTTAGCTCTGTTTAAATACTTTACACACCCATTCAGCATCAGCACATGGGTGGATAATCATTATTATTACTTCCCTTAGAGCCCATGGAAGAAAGTTGTTCAAGTGTATGTGCTGTGTGTATGTGTTCCCTGTCTTCCATTTGTGAGGACGCTCTCACTGAAGGAGCTGAGGGCACGGTCTTAGGGCGCGTTATCATTAGAGATGGCCGCCAGAAGTTCCGCGGGGTTCAAACCAGGAGAAAGTTTGGGTTTCGACATGGTAGGAGCGTGGCTGATCTGCTTCCAGTGTTAAGATGGTAAAGCTTGAGTTGCTAGAACATGGAGCTAAGCAAGCCTCCCTCTTATTCCGGCCTTCTCCCTCGTTGGTGTCTTAGGGCACGTGTTCTATTTAAATTATTGGCTCTCTCAGATCCCCCGCTGTCTTTTTTTCCCCAGCATGCTTGAGGACGACCTGCAGCTCAGCGACAGTGAGGAGAGCGACACTGAACAGGTGAGTGTGGGGCGCGGAGGCGGAGGGGCGCGGAGGCGGAGGGATCCTCTGAGTCCGCCGAAGGTGCCGGCCGCTTGTCCTAACCTGTGTCTCTGTTCTTTCCTGGAACCTCTCGCCCTTACCGCGAACGTCCAGGCTGCAGAGAAGCCTCCGTCCCCATCCGCACCTCCAAGGTACTGTCTGCATTTGTCCCCATCGGCCCCAGAACTGTGGCTCCCTCGCCACACGCCCCTAACCCCGATGAGAATAAAGACTCCCTCGGTGTCTTTGTGGCTTCACGGGTCCCAGTTGAACCTGAGTCAGCTGTGGGGGGCCGTTAGCCCTGTAAAGGTGGAAGAGGCCCTGTAGGCACCCACAGCGAGGTTTTGGATGTTAAAATTCTTTGAGCTGAGGGGTTAGAGTCGGTAAAGTGCTCACCTCCCAAACACCAGGACTTGACTCAGCACCTGCGTAAGAGTCAGGTGTGGAAACAGGCAGGTTCCCTGGAGTCCATGAGAGACCCTGTCTCAGAACTGGAAATTGATTGAAGAGGACACTTCATATTGACCTGGCCTCCATATACACGTGTATTCACTTGTACACATGCGCATGTTCACTCTCATGCTTACACACTCGCCCCTGTACACATGCACATGTTCACTCTCATGCTTACACACTCGCCCCTGTACACATGCGCATGTTCACTCTCATGCTTACACACTCGCCCCTGTACACATGCCCATGTTCACTATCATGCTTACACACTTGCCCCCCACCCACCCCTTGAGCCAGGTGTGATGATGCACACCTGTAACCCTTGTGGTAAGCTGAGGCAATCAGATAGAAAGTTTGAGGCCAGATAGAGGATAGAGCGAGACTTTCAACAATATTTTTTTTTCTTTTTTTTTTTTTTTTCGAGACAGGGTTTCTCTGTGTAGCTTTGCGCCTTTCCTGGGACTCACTTGGTAGTCCAGGCTGGCCTCGAACTCACAGAGATCCACCTGGCTCTGCCTCCCAAGTGCTGGGATTAAAGGCGTGCGCCACCACCGCCCGGCTCAACAATATTTTAAAGATAAGCTTTAAACACAGTTTATCCTTGGCGTTGTGCGACCAGTGTTTGAGAAGTTAGAGGAAGGAACCCCTCACATCAGTATTTGTGAAACTGATGGATGTTGGATTCTTCCGGAGCTTGTTCCCAGGGTTTCTCTTTTCTTAGTTTCAGCTGCTTTAAAATGTGACTCCCAGGACATTTAATGCAAGGGGAGCTGCGTTCCTTTCACCTTCAAATGAGTTAGCCCTGCTTTAGAAAAGGAATGCTCTGTGTTTGGGAAATGGAAACTAATTTTTGAACTATTTTTACAGTATTTTCCTCCTGGTACTAAATATAACAATTTAAGGTGAAAAATGCCTGTCCTTCATAGACAAAGACTTGCAAGGTGCCCAGCCATTTTGAGAGACAGTCACCAAAAAGAACCTGAGTGTCAGTAGTGATGATATGGTTAGTAATAGTAAAGGAAGCATTAATTATACAGTTCGTACACCCGGCCTGTTTATTTATATCCAGTCTTGTTAAAATTTCAAGTGGCTCATGTTGACTCATAAACTATGACAAACTGGTCTATTGCAAAAGCTAAGGAAAAGGCCACAGTGAAGCCAGAGGGCAAGGGACAGCTAGGAGCAAGGGCTCCCTTCCCAGGTCCTGCCTCTGTCACTGACTCAGCGCTGACAGAGTCCCATGAGGAGCGGAGGTCCCGGGACCATGTCTGCTCTAAAATGAACCCAGCCAGTGATTTTTATTACATTACTTATTGTTCATTACTTAAAAAGAGTTTGTTTTGAGAATATTGTAGGGAGGTTCGGAAACGTTGAAGGCTAGGGTTAAAGATGTCTGCTTTAGCGATAACGTTTAGGGCAGCTAAGACTGCTTATGGTTTGAAACTATATGTCTAGCCTCGATCCATATGTTTTCTCATTGACCTACAGTTAATGGCCGACTTGTAAAACTTGGAGTTGTTCATGCCCAGCTAGTCACAAAGAATGGCCCATTGTCTGACTCCACCAGGAAGTGACTGGGCCACTTCTGAGCTCACCCTGCCAAGGAACTCTCTGTATTCACTGGTGTCTGGTTGCTGTGTAGTTAGGCCCTATGTAGAGAATACAGCGAGTTTTACACACTAGCTTCTCCTTAACACTTTTTCTTTTGAGTTATATATAGTAGGACTCAGTAACCTTCATGAGCCACGTGGTAAATATTTTAGCCTCTGTGGCACATGTAACTCTCTGTAACTGCTTAGCTCTGCTATCCAAGCACCAAAGCCACCACAGGTGGCCTCCAAAACAACAGTTGCAGGCGTGTTCTAATAAAACTTCATTTAGAAAACATGGCAGGCTGTCCAGGCCCAGGTTTACCAGCCCTTGGTTAGGCAGCTGGCGCAGGGTTTGTTGATATCATCTACCGGGTGGTCGGCCAGTGCTGACGCCGCTCCTCTTGTCCCTGCCGTCACTGGGGGACCCCTAGCCCCTGGACGATAAGCCAGCGTGGATGCTGTTCCTCTCCAGGAGCAGACGGCTGGGCAGAGGCAGCGGGGGATGCTCTCCTGCGCGCATGCTCCTCTGATCGTGCCTCCACTTGCTCTGCAGCGCTCCGCAGACGCTTCCGGAACCAGTGGTGTCGGCACATTCCAGTGGTGCGGAGTCGGAGAGCAGCGCGTCGGACAGCTCCTCGGACTCGGAGAGCGAGAGCAGTTCCAGTGACAGCGAGGAGAACGACGACGACGAGCCCCTAGAAACCCCGGCTCCCGAGGTAGCGCGGCCCTTTCAGAAGGCAGTCCAAGATGGCAGTGTGCTGGCTCTTGGGTGGGGGTCCGAGCCGCGCACTGACCCTGACACTGGAAAGTCTCGACTTTGTGCGATGCTTTCCCACTGTATGGAGTCACGTGCTTCTGTTTGCTGCTCCTCCCCCAAGAGCTCGGCCGTGGAGACACACGGACGGGACGGGACGGGCACGACAGGTTCCTCTGCAGCTGCTTCCTAAGAGTATTTGCACTCCATCTTTTCTTTTGAGAAGGAAAACCTGTTTAAAGTAGGTTACTGTATTAGTGTCAATGAAAGTTCTTTGAAAATTCTGTGAGGTAAAGGAAATGAAAGAAATGAGCTAGAAGCAAGTCGTCAGTTCTGTTTTCGAATCACTAAACGCCACGCGGTAACTTGATGGCAAAGTGATTTGCCGGGGCTCTGGGTCTTGTCCTTCCTGCCCCAGGCAATGTAGGGACAACTGAGTGTGTTGGCAGCCACTCTGGAAGTACTGTAAAGATAAACAGTAAGACTGGAAGCCGTGAGAATTACATTTTGCTCGAGAATTCACGCTATGTGCTGATTAGTCACACATCAGAAGTTGTCTGTAATAGCTAACAAGGTAGCAGTATAAAAACTGAGCTCGTAGGAAGCTAAGGCGTTCTTATTTTCTTTCTACTGGATGAGACCAGCCCTTCTAGAGAATGCTGCCTCTGTATTTAAGATTAGAATGCCATGAAGGAGGCTTTTTGATAAAATAGCAATAGTTTCCTGTGTTCATCTCTGTAAGGTGGTAGTTCCCCTAGGGCAGTGACTGGGCATGGCTGGAGAGTGGCCGTGGCCTCGGGCCCGCGTGAGGGCGCCTGAGATTGAGGAAGTGTGCCCAGTGCTGTTAGGCGGACTCCGCCTGGCACGGGACACACGCTTAGGGGTGTCCTTCGGGTTTGTTTTTTGAGGTTTTCACAGTGCATGATTCGAGGAGCCTTTTAGAGTTTAGAGCAACTCGCAGTGGGTCTCTTTGTTCCTCCTGTGGCACTGACAGTGTGGAGTGAGTCTTCTGGATCTTAGGAGGGAGGCGATGAACATGTGGTGTGGATAATTCTGTGACGGTCCCCATCACAGAGCTCTGTGTGAGGTGTTTTTGTTATTTTGGGTCCTGGGACATGACTGTAGAGCATCCTTAGCATGCACTCTGCCCTGAACACTTCATCCTCAGAAAGAAAAACGTGCGTGCCTGTTACATCCTTAATAGGAAATGCTCAGTAAAACAACGGAGTTCCGTTCAGAAAAGATTAAGTTAAACGCATTTGGCTGCGTAACTGAAACTTGAAAAAAATAATTCCCCCTCCCCCCAAAAATATTCCTGCCCAGCGCTGATGGCGCACGCCTTTAATCCCAGCACTTGGGAGGCAGAGACAGGTGGATCTCTGTGAGTTTGTGGCCAGCAGGACAGCTAGGGCTACACAGAGAAACTGTGTCTTGAAAAACCAAAAAACAAACAACAAAAAACCCCAAAACAAACAAACAAACAACAAAAACCACAAAATCTTTGCTGGGGTTGCAGCATTCCTAGGGCCCTTGTTGAATCCCTACTGTCACCAAGAGGAAAAAGAAGAAAAACTGAGAAACGATTTAATCTCATGTTTGTTATAAGTGTATTTGTCTCATGCATCAAAAAAGGGACCAGAGTAAAGCCTGCTGTGGAAGCACGTGCCTGTAAGCCCAGCCCTGAGGATCCTGAGGCTGGAGGACAGCCAGGGCTATGTAGTGTACCCCAGCTCCCCAGAGTCCAAATGAGCAAAAGTCCAACAAGGTAGATGAGAACTCCCTAGGTGCAAACCAACTGTTCTATCTCACCGTGAAGAGGCTGCGTCTCTGCGTGTGAGGCCTGTGCTCTGTACTGAGTGGGGCTCTTTCTTGGGAGTATCTCATCTTGGTTTATTTTCATTTTCCCTCAGTTATTTAACTACTTTTTGTCCCCTTTGAAATGAGAATCTCCTATGTTTTCCTGTTTAGTTGAGGGTAACATGGATTATATAATCAACTCTATACTAGCTCTAACTTTCTCATCCATGTCTGCTTTTAATTACTAATCAATTTTGAGATAGGGTCTCACTGTGTAGCTCTAGGTGCCCAAGAACTCATTCTGTAGACTGGATTGGAAGGGATCTGCCTGCCTCTGCCTATTGAGTGCTAGGATTAAAGGCATGCCCCACTTATTTATTTTATGTGTGGGGGGGCACACTTGTGTGGGGCATACTTGAGGGTGAACAGAGGACAGCTTTTGGAGCTGATGTCTCTGTCCACCTTTATATAGATAGGCCCCAGACATCGAACTCAGGTTTAAAAAAGACACACATCCGTTACTTCCAGAGGTTAGGGGAACCAAAGGAGTGTTTAGACACGCTCAGACCATGCCCCGTGTCTTCGCTGACTTCTAGTGTCTAGTGATTAGGTTTTGCCACCATTGAGAGGAACAGAGGGTACATAAGGAAAAGCCAGACTTCATCCTATTTGGCTTCCTTCTGTTTGAAAGTTACAGTCTGGCTTAGCCAAATCTCTTATTCAGACATCTCAACCCAAATAATGCCCAGCCTTAAGCAGCCATGTCATCTGCAGCTCCGTTTGGGTACAGAGGGAGAGCTGTCTAGATTTTCTAGATGGGCATACCACTCGGGGTCACTGTGTGAAAGTGGGCCACAGGGCTCCCTTCTGGACCCCAGGACCACAGTGGAAGTCAATGTGTGCCATGCCTGTGGCCAGGACATTTCTTCAGAGACTACTTAAATGCATCCCGGCATTGCTCTGTCTTAGCTCTGGGGTCCACACGTGAATACATCCTGAGGAGCCTGTCGGTGATTGATAGGGCTGCAGCTGTAGCCAGAGGAGTTGACCTATCCCGGCCTGTCCCAGGTGGGAAGAGTTTGGTTCCAGGGGGCTCTGCCTTCCACGGCTTTATCAGATCCTTTTACCACCGTGCTACCAAAAGCCTTCAGTCTAAGGAGGAAATCATGTGGCAAGGAGCTACTCTGCTGCCCTGTCCATTCCACATTCTTAACCATCTTGCCTTGTTAGACTGTTGAATACACATTATATTTCCATGTGATAAAATGCCCCGCCAATTATAGTCCTTGTCTTTTCCTCTTGCTGAAATTTAAATGAGCACCTGGAGGCAGGGCAAGAGATCTGTGACCACAGGGACAGTATGGGGTAAACAGAACAGAGCCCGGCCCCTTTCTGCCCAAGGGAGGAACCCTCCGGCTTTTCTCTCTCTCTCTCTCTCTCTCTCTCTCTCTCTCTCTCTCTCTCTCATTCTTCCAGGTGGTGTTCTGTTGTGAGCTGTTGTTCTTGTGTGAGCACAGGAAGCCTAGATCGTCTTACTTTCTGACCCTACCTGACCTAAATGCATTCACACCCTATGTCTTGTATTAGGCCTGCATGTTTTGGCAGAGTTGGATTATTTGGTATATGTCACTTTGGAAAATTGTCAGCCATCTTCCCTTTGAAAAACTTCCATCCCAAGGCTGAGGGTAGAGGTCAGTGATGGAGCACTGGTTCGCTGGGCACACGGCTTGCGGTTTGTTCCCCGGTGCGTTAAAACACAATCAAGAAAATTATATTAGGTTCAGCCTACTGGATTGCTCTTATCCGTGATCTAATCAGTTAGATCTCATGTGTAATATGTTTCAGTTAGCACTCTGGTGGTCTGTGTATGATTTAACTATTTGTAGAAGCCGCCAATAAGAGAGAGAGTGTGTGTGTGTGTATGCAAAAAATGGCCCAGTATCATGGCATGGCATTCATCAACAGTTAATTTAGTAGCAACAGTTTGAATCACAGGTTGCTTTAGGAACTTCTGTTGATCTGCTCTATCAATTATTTGGGTAATAATTGATACTCCTGTCTGTTTTCTGTGAATCTTCTTGTCTTTGTGCTTAGGAACAGGTGCAACTTCAGAGCTGGTTGCCTGTAGTAGAAGATGCTATATCTGCCTTAAAGAATGGAGGAGGGGCTAGTCCCTGCTAATGTGACTTCACTCTAGTTTGGAAATCAGATCTGTCTGTGTTATATTGTAATCCCATCATGTAAAAATTACTGTTTGTAAGTAAATAAGAGAAATTGAGTGTTAGACAGAGTCCCTATCAGTTGGTAAAAGGGTTCTTTTTATTCCCTGTCTTCTGCATTACAAGTCAAGTGTGTTCATTCTGTTCAAATTGTACCATAATTAACCATCAGGACAAAAGACATTCCACGAAGACTTCTCAGCAGTTGCCAACTGCTTATTAGTTGATATCTATTAGCAAAGTTCTCAAATTGTAAAATCGTTCATTACAGACTCTGATTTGTAATTTGCGGGGGATGAGTGGAAGGTAAATTCCTAGGCTCAGAATGAGCAATTCTCCTGGGGGCAGCCCTGTATAATTGGACCACTAACACAAAAGAAGAGTTTATATCCACACTGGTCAGTTAACACTTTTCTCTGTCCTGGTTTCTAGCCTGAGCCTCCGACAACAAACAAGTGGCAGCTGGACAACTGGTTGACCAAGGTCAGCCAGCCCTCGGTGCCCCTCGACGGCCGGGGGAGCACAGAGTCTCCACGCTGGCGCCAGGAGAGCAAGGATGGCGAGCGCAGCTCTGACCAGCAGCACCCGGAGTCCAAAGACCCTTCCCCCAAGAGTTCCAGCAAAGCTCTCCGAGGGGCCACTGAGGGGCCCCAGCCCGGGAAGAGGAGCTGCCAGAAATCCCCTGCTCAGCAGGAGCCCCCACCTCGGCAAACTACGGGAGCCAAACAACCCAGAAAACCGGCCAAGGGCTCTAGCCAGGCTGAGCCCCAGGCCAACGTGCAGGTGGACGGTGAACCTGGACCCTTTCCCTATGGCTCAAAAGAGCAGACTTCCAAAGACAAACCCAAGGTGAAGACGAAAGGCAGGCCTCGTGCTGTGGGCAATAGGGAGCCTAAGCCTGAGGCTCCTGCGCCCAAGCCCCAGGCAGCCAGGCCCAAGCCGCAGGCAGCGGGGCCCACCCCCAACGAGAAGAGGAAGCACAAGAGTTCCCCGGCCCCCTCCAAGGCGCTCTCAGGCCCTCAGCCTCCAAAGGACAATGCTGGGGACAGGAACCCTGAGCACTTTGCTCTTGTCACCTTGTCTCAGAGCCAGGGTCCACCCCACAGCGTCAGGGGCGGCAGTGGCGTCAGGACTAGTGGCTGCCGACAGGCGGTGATTGTCCAGGAGGACGGGCGGAAAGACAGACTCCTGTTACCCTTGGGAGACACCAAGTTGCTCTCACCACTCAGGGACGCTCCACCACCAACGAGCTTGGTGGTAAAGATAACCCTCGACCTTCTCACCCGGATTCCCCAGCCCCCGGGGAAGGGGGGTCGCCCTCGGAAAGCGGAAGACAGGCAGCTGGCAGCAGCGAAGAAGCCGGACTCCGAGAAGAGGAGCTGCGACAGCTCCAGCAGAGGGAGCAAGAAGAGAAAGGTGAGTACAGAGACGTGCCTGGCGGTGTGTGCATGTGTGGAGACGTGCCTGGCGGTGTGTGCATGTGTGCATGGTGGCAGAGTGACCAGGAAGAGAAAGGTGAGTATGGAGACGTGCCTGGCAGTGTGTGCATGGCCAGGGATCTTTGAGTTGTCTAGCAGAGGCTGAAGCCTTTGCCCTGCCAGCAGCACTGGACCTGCCCCTCCAGGTTCAGTTGGCCTGAGCGGCACTGGACCTGCTCCTCCGGGTTCTGTCGGCCTGAGCGGCACTGGACCTGCTGCCCCTCTAGGTTCTGTTGGCCTGAGCGGCACTGGACCTGCCCCTCTAGGTTCTGTTGGCCTGAGTGGCACTGGACCTGCCCCTCCGGGTTCCATTGGCCTGAGCGGCAGTGGACCTGCTGCCCCTCCGGGTTCTGTTGGCCTGTACCCTCTTCCCATTCTGCAGGCAGTCACGTGTGTCGGGGCCCTGAGTCACTGAAGAAGTAAGCTTTCTCCACACCCTGCCGCACTCGGAGGGCACATTTTTATGCATGCAGAGATCACTGTTCACTCTCTGCCATATGATGTTTTGTCCTGGAAATTGAGGTCTTCTGTGAATTGGAATGATAATTAGTATTCTGAATTTTTAAAGAATTGCTCTCATGATCCCTGCTTTGTTACTAGAACTATTAAAGCATATGGAAAAGAGATCTTGAGGAAAGCGAACTGGTAGGGTGAGCTGCAGACTTCTGGGCACCTGCTGTTTGGTATGGTTTTCATGGGAAACCTGCCTTATTTGAGACTTTCTATTACTTAGGCATGCTGCTGTTTGGGCAGTGTCGTCTTTACTCTAAACTGTTGAGCTCTGGCTCTCTCTTTTTTTTTTTTTTGCTTCTTTGTGATGAGGTAAGACTAGGGAGTGTTTCCCCCAGGCGCTCTTACTTACTACCTGCCCAGATCTTGACACAAAAGCACAAAAAGACTAACCGTCATGCTGACGGGATGAGATTTAGCACTCTTGAGTATATGACAAATGTCTTACTCAGCAGTGGAACAGGAGCTGAAAATAACGGGAAGGGCCGTGAAGCTTGCTGTCGTGCCTGAGGCCCAGCTGATTTATCCACCTGTTTAAAGATACGGCACGACTCTAGCAAACTCTCCAGAACCCGGTTGTCGGAGACGCCAGAGTCTCCGTGACCAGCACATGCACTGTGGGCAACACCTTTGGGGTGACTCAGGTGCTTGCTGAAGATGCTGTTTGAGCTAGAAGAGCCAGGAAGGCTTTTGGGAGGGGCTGTAGAGGTGAGACAGTCTGTCTGTGTAGCCCTGACTGTCCAGGAACATGTCATGTAGAGCAGGCAGACCTCAGACTCACAGAAATAACCGACCGGCCTCTTCCTGTCTCCCAATTAAAGTTCTGTATCACCTAGCCAGAAAGATTGAAAAGCTTTCAGAATGAGATGTGGAGTGTGTGTCTGTGTCTGTCTGTCTGTGACAAAAAAAGTTATCAAGGAATCTGTGGTGGTCCTGTTTGGGAAAGAGTGTTCCTGTATCTGCTGTCTCTGGGCATGTGTCAAGGATACACTCGTTTACCTGCTCCTGGTAGCAGGTCTCCGTCACATCCCCTCTTAGCTGCCTTGGTTTATTTTCTATAGACTATTTGTCTGCCTTTCTGCTTTCCACTGCAGCGGAGGGGGTATTATGTCTTCTGCTGCCTTGTTAGATAGAGCCGATCCCAGCCGTCCGTGGGGTCTAGGCCGGCTCCTCCCTCTCATCTCTAAGAACAGGGCCTGCCCTTTGGAAGAAGGTGACCCTGCAGGCACAGCTCAGGGAAAGCTCATTTAGGCTAGGCCCAGGGAAGCATTTTGTTGAGCGCATGGAGCAGTTATGATTTCCTCATCTTAATTGCGCACAATTGAGTTCACTTCATTGAGTTCTTCCAAGTGTCTGGTCCGAAAGAAACTGAGAACAGGTGCTAACTCTGGTGCCTGCCAGCACACCAAAGTGCACGCTGGCCTCCAGGCTCCCTCAGCACCACAGCAAATACTTGTTACAGAGTCCATGCTGGCATCCTGGCGCCTCACAGATCTATCTTGCCCACCACCCTAAACTTCTCCAGCTCATGGGCTTCCCCCAGTCCCAGCTTCTGATTCTATACAACCCTGCCTTTGGGCCGTACACTCTTATGGCTCTTGGTCCCGTCCTCCTCTTGCCCTCTCTCCTTTTTCCTCTCTGTCTTCCCCTCCTCCCTCACTTCCCCACCCCCTCATGCCCTGGTTCAGTCTACTGCTTTCTCTCCCTGCTCTGGACTCTTTCAGATGCCTCTGGCTGTTCTCTCCCTCACACCTACAATAAAAACCTTCCCCTCAACCATACCTCAGAGCAGTCATGTCCTCACTTTATACACAAAGCTCTGGCAAGCACTGAGGGATTTGGCTTGGGAGTCTGACTGTGAGACGGGTCAAGATGGAACCCATTGGTTTAAATCCTGGCTGTGATAAAGCCTGACCACATTATAGTCACCCGGGGACAGCAGGGGCTCCTCCCCCTCTGGTATTTTTTTAAATTCCTAGGCAATCTTGATGCCCTCAGGGCTGGAAGCAGTGGAGCGCATCGTTGTGCTCACGGACGCTGATGCTTGGGTAGAGAGTTTGTTCGGGTGTGCTGTGAGCGTGGCCGGCATGGACAAGGCCTCCAGGAATTCTTGCCTGAAGTGTGTCATTAGTTAGCAGCTTGACCGAGAAGCTTTCAGATAGGTAAGAATAAAAAGCCAGCTGCTGTGTTTACCCCTCAGAGTCGCACGTCCTTCCGTGTGGGAGGTATTACGTATGCCACTCATTCTGTGCGTCAGCACCGTGACGGCCGTTCAGGCCTCCCTGGCTCCAGTGGGTCACCTGGTATGCAGACCTGGGAACCTGGGAAGCTCTGGGCCAGAGGTTATCCTGACTTCTTTTTAACTTGAGACTATTCCCAAATTTAGGTTGTGAAGGCCTTCATTTTCAGTGTAAGCATTAGAAAAGGTTTTCTAAACATGTAGTCAGGGACATTTAAGAGTGTTCCAAATCTTTCACATTTGTGCGGTTTATTTAAAGACCCCTCAGAACTTCTCCCTCTCCTGTTATGAAATTTAGTAAAAATTCTCAGAGGATTCGCAGAGTCTTTAAAGGCTTTTTAACCTTCATACTCATGAATATCAGAGACCACACGGTAGGGTAGGCATGGAGCTCAGTGTTTGAACACTTCCCTAGCATTTTTAAGGCCCTGGATTCAATCTCCAGCCATGCAAACTATAAACCAGGCAACAAGAAAGACTCGGTGGTGTTAATAGCTGTGATGAAGCCATCAGATGTGGCCCCTGAGGGAACTGGGTTAGGAAGAGTTCTGAGGCACAGTGGAGAAACTTAGGTAAATATACTTGAACTGAATACTCCTCACTCAAACTGTTGACTGCAGTTTAGAAGTTCAAGTACTAACATCCACTTTCTTTTCTTAAGCTAGGATTATGTCTCTCTGATTTGAAAACAAAACAAAAAACACCAGAGTTGGAAGCATTCTAAGACTCTAGCAGACATTGAGCTCCACATGGAGCCCTACTGTGTGCTCATCTCTTCTGTAGATGACAGTTCATTTCATCCATTCACCTGAAGATTGCCCCTCACATAAGTGGGTACTGCTTTGATCTTGTTATATTGTTCTTACCATGTAGCCCAGGCTGGCCTGGAAGCCCAGATCCTGCTTTAGCCTCCCAAGTGTTGGGATTACAAGTGTAGGCTTATTTAAATAAGTAGGTGATCTTTCTTACTGGTCATTTCAACAAATAATGGAATGAAGGAGTTCACTGAAGCCTTGCTCCTGACACAATTGTTTCATTAACTAAGAAACCATCACCTTTGGTGTGGGGATCAGTGCATTTATATACTCCTTTATTTATGTTGACAGAGGAAGGGACGTCATTGTGTCTGATAGGAAAAGGTACGTTTCTTATGCTTGGCACAGTTACTTCTGCCTTTGACTTCGATCCAAAGTCCAACTGTCCTTTCTTACCCTCATCCCCCCAGATCAGTAACCCCAAGTTTTGTCCTTACCAGTCAAGGGTGTGACATCTGATACCTTAGAATTTACTAAAGTCTTCCAGGTTTCCTTTCTTGCTGCCTGGTTATTGGCTGGAGAGTGTGGCAGCGAAGGCTGGCTTACCTCATCAGTACCCGTGTCTGCCTAACCAGGAAGAGGTAAAGCTGCTCTATTTTCTCTCCTCTAGTGGATCTTCTTGAGATCCAGAGAGGCCCAGAATCTCATGGCTGCTCAGTAGATGCGTGTTAGCTGCTGCTGTCCACTGGTCCGTCCTCTCCCTTGCTCGTTCTTCTGTGTACACATATGTCCTGAGAAGATTCAGATCAAAATTCTGACTCTGGTGACTGCACGCAGTAGGGCGGTTACAGCGTTCCTCTGGCTTCTCGCCTCCGTTGCTCAGTGATGCCCCCTGCCCAGTGCCCATGCTCACCCCTTCTCCAGGGTCTTAGGAGGTTCCTCCTCAGACCCTCTTGTCTCCACCATCATAGCCAAGCTCCCAGGATCTTTCCATGAGTCAGAACCTGTGGCCCCAAGTGACTGTCAGTTTTAGAAAGCGCTGCCTCTGGTTTCCTTTGAACTACAAGGCACCCTCATGACGAGCCTGTGAAGCCAGGTGCCAGGTTCTAGGGATTTGAACTGATGTCCTCATGCGTGTACAAGTAAGCTCTTACACACGGAGCCGACTCTTCAGCCACAGCTGATTTGTCTTTGTTTTTCAAGACAGGGTTTCTCTATGTAGCCCTGGCTGTCCTGAAAGAGACTCTCTCTCTGTAGATCGGGCTGGGCTCGAACTCACAGAGATCCTCTTGCTGCTGCCTCCCGAGTGCCAGGGATGAAAGGCGTGCGCCACCACCGCCAGGCTGCAACAACTGTCTTTATTCTCTCCACTTTGTGATTATCATCCCTTCTCTATGTTGGTTAATGAGAAGTTAAAGCCCCAGTAAAACTAGGAGGGAGATGGAAGACGAGCTCTTGCCAGGTGGGGTGGGGAGTAAGAGGACATATATGACGTGAAAATGGCGGCTAGCGGGGGGAGATGGAAGAAGAGGAGACAAGCACCAACGCAGCGTCTATGGAACGCCAAGTGAGGGGAAGAAATCAGTGTAGAGCCCAGTGTGTGGGTCACCTTTAGATAACTGGGTTGGTGCCGCCCAGTAAGGTGGGAGTGAACCACACAGGTGACTGTTTTTCATTAGCCACCTTAAAATGTAAGCCACGTAGATTTCTCTCCATTTGAGGCCAGCCTGGTCTACATAGTGAGTTCCAGGACAGATGGAACTACATAGACAGGACTATGCCCTTTCTTTCGCTTTCTTTCTTTCCTTCTTTCTTTCCTTCTTTCTTTCCTTCCTTCCTTCCTTCCTTCCTTCCTTCCTTCCTTCCTTCCTTCCTTC